GGGGTGGAGGAAGGGAGAGCAGGAAAGCACTCGCCATAATTGATAAAACTGTCCAATATTTACAGGTGTGGGATCAGGTGTGGGACTGTCAACAGGACTGCTCACCTGGTTGATTGTTTCTGATCAGTTTACCTGATTGCTCGACCTGGCTCATGTACCTGAGTGGCTTACAAGAGTGGCTTATGAAACAGTAACCAAATAGTTTATATTTGTATTATTAGCTATTTCCTTGCGATCATTTACCCAATTTAGAATAGCTTGACACGTTGACCCAAGTTGGTGGCAGGGAAAATGGAAGGGGAAGAGGTGTAGGAGGGAGGGTTGGGGGAATGGGTATAGGAAAGGAGGTGGGGGAGGGGGGCAGGTAGGTGGGGAAGGATAAAGAAAGGCTCAGAAAAAGGTTGAAAAAGTGAGAAAGGCTTCTTGTGAGGTTAATGGTTCTTTGAGAATGTCAGAAAAAGTGAAAGTTTCTGAGAAGTGAGAAAGGGCTGAGGTAGAAAGTGAGGGAAGTGAGGAGAAAGTGACATGAGAGAGAGGAAGGAGAGAGGGGCAAGACAGTGGATGGAAGAGTTGTGTGAGAGCTGGGGGATGGGGGGAACAAGCCTTCAATAGGAGGAGAGTACGCTCACAGTGCTGTAATCAGGGCGATGTAGTTGAGCCGTCCAGAACGACCTCATTACCCCATTATGTTTCCATTTGTGGGGCCCGAGGATAGGGGGGCCGACGTGGGGGGGTGCCGAGGTTGGGGGGGTAGGGGGGGCCGAGGAGGGGTAGGGGCCGAGGTGGTCCTCCGCCCTAATGCTGCCTCCCTTACCACATTTACACTCCTTGTAGCGTTACGCTCCACGAGTCCTCCTCCCTCCTCTGGCGGTGCCCTTGTTCATGATGCGTTGTGTGTGTGTGTGTGTGTGTGTGTGTGTGTGTGTGTGTGTGTGTGTGTGTGTGTGTGTGTGTGTGTGTGTGTGTGTGTGTGTTGGGTGGACGAGTTTGTCGAGGCTTGAGCACCATGCACGTGCTGCGTACTCTTTTTTATAGACCTGGTGCGAGGCATGAGCTGTCATCAACAAAATCAACTGCTTAAAAATTGTGTTTCTGGGGTCAGATTGACGAAGCAGTTACGCAAGCACTTACGAACCTGTCCATCTTTTCCTCAATCTTTCGCGGTTTTGTTTACAATTATTAAACAGTTAATGAGCTCCGAAGCACCAGGAGGCTGTTTATAACAATAACAACAGTTGATTGGCAAGTTTCCATGCTTGTATACAAACTGTTTAATAAATGTAACCAAAGCCGTCAAAGATTACGTTCACGTTCGTAAGTACCTGCGTAACTGCTTCGTGAATCTGGCCCGAAGTGTGTATGTGTGAGGATTGGTGGGACTGGTGGAAAAGGTGTGACGGGACAGGACGGATATCTATCCACTCACGTCCCGTGGTGTGGAGGGAGAGAGATGAGACGGGAAGAGGTGACAGGACAGGCAACGTCCGTCCACTCGTGTCCCCGTGGTGGACAGAGAACAAAACTTTCCGGCAAGTTTGGCCCAAAAACTAAGGAACTGGTAGCGTCTTGAGAGAGTTGTAGCGAGGTATTTGTAAGTGGTGAGAGGCCAGTCAGAAGTTTCTTCCCCTCACACAAGTCAGGCAAGAAAGAAAACGATTGGAGGATCTTGAGAATAACCGCCCACTTCGCTATACTAAAATAATACAACACAATGTAGCGGCGCTTCTCAAACTTTCTGGGGCCAACTGTGGAGAGATTATGGGGAAGTGTGGGAGGCTGGGGGGATGTTTTTATCCCTCTCAGACCAAGAGAGAGAGAGAGAGAGAGAGAGAGAGAGAGAGAGAGAGAGAGAGACAGAGACAGAGAGAGAGAGAGAGGAGAGAGAGAGAGAGAGAGAGAGAGAGAGAGAGAGAGAGACAGAGACAGAGAGAGAGAGAGAGAGAGAGAGAGAGAGAGAGAGAGAGAGAGAGAGAGAGAGAGAGAGACAGAGACAGAGACAGAGACAGAGACAGAGACAGAGAGAGAGAGAGAGAGAGAGAGAGAGAGAGAGAGAGAGAGAGAGAGAGAGAGAGAGACAGAGACAGAGACAGAGACAGAGACAGAGACAGAGACAGAGAGAGAGAGAGAGAGAGAGAGAGAGAGAGAGAGAGAGAGAGAGAGAGAGAGAGAGAGAGAGGAGAGAGACAGACAGACAGACAGACAGACAGACAAACAGACAGAGAGAGAGAGAGAGAAGGGTTGACAGAATATCTGTCATTTCCTCGTCCACTTCCCCAAGACGGACCATTCCCACCCAAGTTAACTTCCCTAATATCCGACTCGTTCAGAGTGAATAATTCAGGTCTGGCCGCCTCCCCGTTACTCCTCATTAGTGAAGGTTCATCCCTTTATAACAAGTTTACCGTTGAAGCTTTAATGAATTTAGCTCTCCTTGTATCCGTACCCCCTGGTGGGGGCGAGGGGCGGCCCTGAGCCCTTGGTGCCCCCTAGTAATGTAGGAGGACCTGAGCCCTTGGTGCCCCCTAGTAATGTAGGAGGACCTGAGCCCTTGGTGCCCCCTAGTAATGTAGGAGGACCTGAGCCCTTGGTGCCCCCTAGTAATGTGTCAGGACCTGAGTCCTTGGTGCCCCCTAGTAATGTAGGAGGACCTGAGCCCTTGGTGCCCCCTAGTAATGTAGGAGGACCTGAGCCCTTGGTGCCCCCTAGTAATGTAGGAGGACCTGAGCCCTTGGTGCCCCCTAGTAATGTAGGAGGACCTGAGCCCTTGGTGCCCCCTAGTAATGTAGGAGGACCTGAGCCCTTGGTGCCCCCTAGTAATGTAGGAGGACCTGAGCCCTTGGTGCCCCCTAGTAATGTAGGAGGACCTGAGCCCTTGGTGCCCCCTAGTAATGTAGAAGGACCTGAGCCCTTGGTGCCCCCTAGTAATGTAGGAGGACCTGAGCCCTTGGTGCCCCCTAGTAATGTAGGAGGACCTGAGCCCTTGGTGCCCCCTAGTAATGTAGGAGGACCTGAGCCCTTGGTGCCCCCTAGTAATGTAGGAGGACCTGAGCCCTTGGTGCCCCCTAGTAATGTGTCAGGACCTGAGTCCTTGGTGCCCCCTAGTAATGTAGGAGGACCTGAGCCCTTGGTGCCCCCAAGTAATGTAGGAGGACCTGAGCCCTTGGTGCCCCCTAGTAATGTAGGAGGACCTGAGCCCTTGGTGCCCCCTAGTAATGTAGGAGGACCTGAGCCCTTGGTGCCCCCAAGTAATGTAGGAGGACCTGAGCCCTTGGTGCCCCCTAGTAATGTAGGAGGACCTGAGCCCTTGGTGCCCCCTAGTAATGTAGGAGGACCTGAGCCCTTGGTGCCCCCTAGTAATGTAGGAGGACCTGAGCCCTTGGTGCCCCCTAGTAATGTAGGAGGACCTGAGCCCTTGGTGCCCCCTAGTAATGTAGGAGGACCTGAGCCCTTGGTGCCCCCTAGTAATGTAGGAGGACCTGAGTCTCGGTGTCCCCTAGTAATGTAGGAGGACCTGAGCCCTTGGTGCCCCCTAGTAATGTAGGAGGACCTGAGCCCTTGGTGCCCCCTAGTAATGTAGGAGGACCTGAGCCCTTGGTGCCCCCTAGTAATGTAGGAGGACCTGAGCCCTTGGTGCCCCCTAGTAATGTAGGAGGACCTGAGCCCTTGGTGCCCCCTAGTAATGTAGGAGGACCTGAGTCTCGGTGTCCCCTAGTAATGTAGGAGGACCTGAGCCCTTGGTGCCCCCTAGTAATGTAGGAGGACCTGAGCCCTTGGTGCCCCTAGTAATGTAGGAGGACCTGAGCCCTTGGTGCCCCCTAGTAATGTAGGAGGACCTGAGCCCTTGGTGCCCCCTAGTAATGTAGGAGGACCTGAGCCCTTGGTGCCCCCTAGTAATGTAGGAGGACCTGAGCCCTTGGTGCCCCCTAGTAATGTAGGAGGACCTGAGCCCTTGGTGGCCCCTAGTAATGTAGGAGGACCTGAGCCCTTGGTGCCCCTAGTAATGTAGGAGGACCTGAGCCTTTGGTGTCCCCTAGTAATGTGTCAGGACCTGAGTCTCGGTGTCCCCTAGTAATGTGTGGCGGACCCGAGTCCGTCCCAGCAGTCAATCAGTCAAAGCAGACGAGGACATACAATTTCAACTGTGTCTTCGGAGTTGCGCCTCTGAAGGAGTGCTGCTCCTCGAGGTCTTCAGCTTGAGCAGTAGGTTGATGGCGTGGCTGTGAGGCGGTGTTCACAGGTGCCAATACTGACACAGTTCCCACCTGGTGAACTTCCTCCTGATCACACCTGTAGGACAGGTGAGCGAGGGGGGATAGAAAAGCGTCAGAAACCCGGTTGTTAGTGAAGTGGAAGCGAGGCTAGGCACACACAGAGAGACCCAACCACTTAGGCTGGATGGTAGAGCGACGGTCTCGCTTCATGCAGGTCGGCGTTCAATCCCCGATCCTCCAAGTGGTTGGGCACCATTCCTTCCCTCCTCCGTCCCATCCCAAATGTTTATTCTGATCCCTTCCAAATGCTATATTGTCGCTTTCCCCCTGATAGTCCTGTTCCCTCCCTTGATACAGAGAGAGAAAGAGAGAGAGCTTAGCGTATTCATCGTGAATGACGTCATCTCTAATGCTGTGGATCTGTGTGTGTGTATTTACTAATTTGAATTTACTATTTATGCCTGCAGGAGCGAGCTGTTAGCTCTTGGACCCCGCCTTTCAAGTCGTCGGTTGCCTAATGAACTGACATATTTTTCTCTATCAATCAACCACACATACACACACACACACACACACACACACACACACACACACACACACACACACACACACACACACACACACACACACACACACACACTGTGTGGGGGGGGGGGAGGGGGTGTATTCCACCACAACAGGAAGATAAACAAAGCAAGACAAGAGAGTGAAACAGCAAATCCTCCCTACTTTACCTTGGTTTAAAGATCTTAAAACTTTGCTAGACGGATGTGGAGAAGTTCCGTCCATTCCTCCTGCTTACACGCACAGCTTAAGGTGTCAATGGTCCATCCACGAGGATGCTCTCAGCCTCCTGGAGAAGTATCCACGAGGATGCTCTCAGCCTCCTGGAGAAGTATCCACGAGGATGCTCTCAGCCTCCTGGAGAAGTATTCACGAAGATGCTCTCAGCCTCCTGGAGAAGTATCCACGAGGATGCTCTCAGCCTCCTGGAGAAGTATCCACGAGGATGCTCTCAGCCTCCTGGAGAAGTATCCACGAGGATGCTCTCAGCCTCCTGGAGAAGTATCCACGAAGATGCTCTCAGCTTCCGGCACCGGATAACTTAGAGCGAAAACGTGAAACCCAAAAAGTTTAGCTCTTGCTCAAACAACATGAGAGTGTACACGCCCGGACACACACACATACAAATGTTATTCATTACCCATTTAACGACTAAATACATTGGTAATAATATGTGTGAATGTCCTAATGGCCAGCTAGGAAGAACTGCTGACAGACGCAGTCCAATGTTCAAACTCCCACACAAGGATATGCCAGCTTGCTCTCAGACTGTCAGCTCATCTCATCCCAGCTGAGCCCAGGTGAGCTTAGTCCAGCTAAGCCTAACCCTGGGCAGAGTACACGAGGCGGAGAGGAGCAGTCTATATGGAGCGTGCCACGTGTGGGCAGGAGAGTGTGGTGAAGGCTGGGGGAGGTGGGCAGCCCGAGGTGGGCAGCCTGAGGTGGGCAGCCAGGAGGTGGGCAGCCCGAGGTGGGCAGCCAGGGGGTGGGCAGCCTGAGGTGGGCAGCCCGAGGTGGGCAGCCAGGGGGTGGGCAGCCTGAGGTGGGCAGCCTGAGGTGGGCAGCCTGAGGTGGGCAGCCAGGAGGTGGGCAGCCTGAGGTGGGCAGCCTGAGGTGGGCAGCCTGGGGGTGGGCAGCCAGGTGGTGGGCAGCCAGGAGGTGGGCAGCCTGGGGGTGGGCAGCCTGAGGTGGGTAGCCCCGGGGGTGGGCAGCCCACCTGCATAGCAAGCTGCCACAATTATTCATGCCGGTGATATCATCTGTGAGTCCCCCGCCCGTGGCGCTGTGGCCCTCCCCAGATATATTATATAATGCTGGTTATTGTAAGCTTGGCGGTGCTCTGTAATGTTGGTTATTATATTGGCATATTGCAACCTGGACTCCTGTAGTTGCTTGGGCTACTGTAAATGTCCGGACTGACTCCTGTAGTAGCTTGGACTACTGTAATCTCAGTCACCACGGCAGCCTGGAGTGCTATAGATTATAGCCTACGGACTATACCTCGTCCATAGCAGCGTTGGTCCGTCCGGACGGATAGAGGCAGATAAGCCAAGGATTATGTTCTATCCATCCACCCAGGGATCAGGAGTTGCCTGGTTCGCCTCATACCTGGCGTCTATCCCAGGTCCTGCATGGTGAGGTGACCCTCACCACAGGTGTGTGTCAGGTGTTGTCATGGTCCATTTCACACCTGGCATCTGCCTCGGGCGCTCACGGGGAATCCATCAGGGTTGGGATACAAATGAATAGTGTTGAGAGTACGAGTGAGGGAGCAGTGGTGAGGCGTGTTAGGTGAGAGTCGCTTCTCTCATCTCGCCCTCTCCATCACTCCTCCTCAGCCACGCCCTCTCCAACACTCTCCCTCAGCCACGCCCTCTCCAACACTCTCCCTCAGCCACGCCCTCTTCAACACTCTCCCTCAGCCACGCCCTCTCCATCACTCTCCCTCAGCCACGACCTCTCCAACATTCTCCCTCAGGCACGCCCTCTCTAACACTCCCCCTCAGCCACGCCCTCTCCATCACTCTCCCTCTGCCACGCCCTCTCCAACACTCCCCCCTCAGTCACGCCCTCTCCATCACTCTCCCTCTGCCACGCCCTCTCCAACACTTCTCCCTCAGCCACGCCCTCTCCAACACTTCCTTAACTCTATCTCCCCGGCGCTCAAACTCCGCACCGTATCCACCTAAACTTTACCTCCGCCCACCACCTCTTACCACCCACCTACAGCCCCACCTGGGCCCCACCTGGGCCCCACCTGGGCCCCACCTGGGCCCCACCTCAGACCCACTTCCCACTCCTCGCCAACGCCTCCCATAATGCCTCCACTTCCATTTTCTCCACATTCATCCCGCTCCTTCAGGGAGCACCAGTCCATAAGCTTCCTCGCCGACCGCGAGTTACGACTGACGGTGTAAACATTTCTTTCGCCCCTCCTGTGATTTTCGCGGGAAAAGTGTAATCTGGTAATTGTTTTCGAGGCAGCGGAGGTGAAATACGGCATGTGGAGACTGACATTACTGAGACCGGATAAGCTGTCATCTAGGTACCTCTAGGGGAAGGTTCTGTCTGTCTTGACATCTCAGAATATCCTGGAGATTTGTGGAATAACTTGGGAAATATTAAGGAGCTCCCAGATGGGTCCTGAGTGGAAAAAGACATGCTGGTCACCTTGCCTGTGTCGGGAGAGGACGTGGATAGTGTCCATGAATCATGGAATAATGTTGTCAGTCGCGCTGAATGAATCATGAGACACACACGTCAAACTGACGCCAGCCTTTGGTAAGCGTGTGTCCTCTGTTGTTGTCGCTTCTCTCACTCTGTTGTCGCGTCTCTCACTCTGTTGCCGCTTTTCTCACTCTGTTGCCGCTTTTCTCACTCTGTTGCCGCTTTTCTCACTCTGTTGCCGCTTTTCTCACTCTGTTGCTGCTTTTCTCACTCTGTTGCTGCTTCTCTCACTCTGTTGCCCTTCTCTCACTCTGTTGCTGCTTTTCTCACTCTGTTGCTGCTTCTCTCACTCTGTTGCTGCTTCTCTCACTCTGTTGCCGCTTCTCTCACTCTGTTGCCGCTTCTCTCACTCTGTTGCCGCTTTTCTCACTCCGTTGCCGCTTTTCTCACTCTGTTGCTGCTTTTCTCACTCTGTTGCCGCTTCTCTCACTCTGTTGCCGCTTTTCTCACTCTGTTGCCGCTTTTCTCACTCTGTTGCCGCTTTTCTCACTCTGTTGCCGCTTTTCTCACTCCGTTGCCGCTTTTCTCACTCTGTTGCTGCTTCTCTCACTCTGTTGCCGCTTCTCTCACTCTGTTGCCGCTTTTCTCACTCTGTTGTTGCTTCTCTCACTCACCCCTCTACAGTAGCACCTCTAGTAACTAAATAACTGTTACAAACACTGCCTCACAGTTATTTAACTGTGAGACAGTTAACTAACTGAAACTGGGAGGAAGAGTTTGATCTGAACACGTCTCCCACATTATATATATTTACAAATCTATGATCACTTCCAATAGACTATATAAATCTCTCCCTCTATCACAGATCTCTTGCATTAAAATGGATTGATCTTTCGAGACAAATTATCGATATTTATTGCCGAACACCTCCTATCTCTCAGGAGATAACGCTGGTGATAACATCATGAGCCACACAAGGAGGCGGAAAACCAGGCGAGGAAAATGTGGCACCTCATGGCACCTCGTGGCAACACTGGCACCTTGGGCCGGAGGACGTGGCAACACTGGCTCCTTAGACCGGAAGACGTGGCAACACTGGCACCTTGGGCCGGAAGACGTGGCAACACTGGCACCTTGGGCCGGAGGACGTGGCAACACTGGCTCCTTAGACCGGAAGACGTGGCACCACTGGCACCTTGAGCCGGAGGACGTGGCACCACTGGTTCCTTAGGCCGGAGGACGTGGCAACACTGGCTCTTTAGGCCGGAGGACGTGGCAACACTGGCACCTTGGGCCCGAGGACGTGGCAACACTGGCACCTTGAGCCGGAGGACGTGGCACCACTGGTTCCTTAGGCCGGAGGACGTGGCAACACTGGCTCTTTAGGCCGGAGGACGTGGCAACACTGGCACCTTGGGCCGGAGGACGTGGCAACACTGGTTGCATCAGAGACCACTCGCAATATTGTTACAAACATAAACACCTTTGGATTAAGTCATTCTGCAGTAGCAGAAGAGGATGGAATTCCATATTACGACGACTCAATAGCTCGGTCAATAGAGCTTGGGCCTTACACGTGTGGAGTCCGCGGTTCGAGTCTCGTAGTGCCCAGGAGAGTAGAAGAGGAAGCTGCGAGTGTTAGCCATAAGCACTTGGGCCAGGCAATAAGTGAAGGTAATAACCATGAGAGCGGCCGTAACACTCGGCCATCATGGCTACTTTAACTGCTCAACGGTCCATCCCATCCCCCCGGTAACACATTTTTTATCATCCTTAATTGGCATTATTATTACTGAACCAAGTTGTAATTTGTCTTAACGTATTAGGCCACACTCACACTCACACACACACACACACACACACACACACACACACACACACACACACACACACACACACACACACACACACACACACACACACTCGCCCATAATTGGACGCCGGCGCCTCTACCTCTGAGAGTCCTTCTCCAACATACACGAGTCAATGACAAATATATAAATATATTACGTAACTTTAAAGTCTTCGAATGGAAGGTTCCTTCAGTCTGCTTCCCTGGTTCCCCCTCTAGTGGACGGTTACACTAATGGAATGTTTCCACTATCCCATACTTCAATCTCCATGACGAGGCTGGGGAGAGGGGATAGTTAAGTGTGGAGGATAAGGCTGGATAGGGTAAATTGTCGACGTGGAGGATAGAGAAGGATAGTCGGGCGCACCGGACCGAGTCATCACGGGTCGAGGGGACGTATTCAAGGGAACACGAAAGACTAATCCCCGCGGTCCGGTCCTCGACCAGGACTCCACCCCCAGGAAGCAGTCCGTGACAGCTGACTAACACCCAGGTACCTATTTTACTGCTAGGTAACAGGGGCATAGGGTGAAACAAACTCTGCCCGTTGTTTCTCGCCGGCGCCTGGGATCGAACCCAGGACCACAGGATCACAAGTCCAGCGTGCTGTCCGCTCGGCCGACCGGCTATGTATTATTGATGCTACACAGACAGCTGAGGTCATGGTTATACGCGCTGACCTGTGACATTCCCGTGAGTATACATA